GAACTCACGGACCGCAAGATCGTGACCTGGCTGAAGTCGGACGCTTAACCGACTGCGCCACCCAGGCGCCCCAAGGATTCTTTTTTTAAAAATAAGTTTATTTATTTTGAGAGCAAGAGACAAAGTGAGGGGGAGGGTGCAGAGAGAGGAGACAGAGAATCCCAAGCAGACCTCATGCTGTCAGTGCAAAGCCCAACGTGGAGCTCGATCAAACGAACCACGAGATTGTGACCTGAGCCGAAATCAAGCATCCAAAGTTGGATGCTTAACTGCCTGAGCCACCCATGTGCCCCAAGGATTCTTTTTCATACCATCTTGTTTGCCCTATGAGGGAAATACGGTGCAGTTGAGCACAAGGAATTAATAACCAGATGAATGCAGAGCGAGGCTCTAGAGACAGCCTGTCTACCTTGAGAATCCATTCTCTTAGTCACAATTACACTGGAGAAAATCATCCTATGTTTAACAAGCAGAAGGACATAACGTGGTAAAAGGCCATTTTCAACAGGCCATTTCCAAGACAACATTTTTGCCTTTGCAAGTGAGAAGTAGGGAATCTACTACGTGGTTACCATTTGTGAAGTGAGACTTCAGGATATGAAAAAATACATAAGCCCTTTTTTGCTTATCACCATTACAGAGGGAATGGGAGAGCCATTCCGTAGTAATACCACTATCTAATCATGTGTCCCTCTGGGTTGGGCTTAGGAAACTTGAAAGAGTATGTTCTTCTCAGGGCTTGATTAGATTTGGCTTGGCTTCGATAGCAGTCACTGGTCTTTCTGGCTCTATACTTAGTAGGGTACAGGCCCTGGGTTCCTGGTGGCCTTTCACACTCTAAGACAGACTAGACCTGCATAGACAGACCTGGTGATAGACTACTAGTTAGGGTCACTGACCCTTTAGGGCTGAAGATCTCTCTCTTTATCTCTCTGTCTTACCTCTCTTTTGCTGGTTGTAATCGTTGAGGGACTTCACGAAAGATTCCAAAGAAGGGTGGCTGAAACTTGCTTCTGTGCTCAAGACATGTGCATGCCATTATTTAAAATAGAATGATTGCATGTATTTACATTTCAAACACGTGTCTTATAATTATAACAACTATTCAACTTAATTTAAAATGCATAAAAAACTGAGCTCCATGTTGAAAACGACATGTTTGATCCACCAGTTATCAACACACATATAGTGATGGTAGTCTGTACCTTCTCTCAGATGCTCTGCTTTTAACTAATTTATGGTTCAGACAAAGTAACAAATAAAAAGGAAAACTGTCAATACATGAACACGTAAAATAATCGTGTTGTTTTTCTTTATCATCATATTAGTGACCTGTATTGACCTGTAAGTTTTTCATCATGGCCAAAGTATGTCACGAACATTGCTATCTAACAGCCAAGTTATTGCACATTCAGAGAATTTGATGGCCGGGTAAAATTTTTCCTCAACAAACGTGTATGGTTAGAGATTTTGCGAACTCGGCACAAAAAACCTCTTCCCAATCCTCTCATTATTAAGACAGTAATTTAATTAAAATCAACTCAAAAGATTACAGAGAAGACAAAAATGACAAAACTTGTCATCTTGTGAAGGTATCAGCTGAGGTCAATGATTGGAAGGTGTTTCCATTATCATTGGCATTTATAATCCAGAAGCCTTAGACTTTAATCCGTTCCTTTTGATGCATGTCGTTATGTTAGAAATTCCATTTAAAAACCTAAAGAAGTTGAAATGGTTTAAATATAGACATATAGGAAGTGTGACAGTGTTCAGTATGTTTAACCAGTGATTTTAAACAATTCCTTTTCTTTAGACAAGATTCCTAATCTCTTAAATATTCACTGGACTGATTTTAATGGAGCAAACTTATAAAATCATTTTGCAACAGTGGTTTCATAAATGTGGAAGAAAACGAAACATTATAAAACGCAAGTGACTCCAGCATCTTCAGAGTGTGAACAGACTCTCGCACCCCACTGTTTAATTTTACATTCTTCGATAGATGATTCTCTCCCAAAACAAAACACTTCATTCAGCCAGATTGGACCGGTACCTGAAGAAACCAGATACAAATGCATCAGTAAACACGGTCTGGGGTTTATGTCTGAATGGGACAAAAACATTAGTTGACCCTCTAACTTAAGACAAAGGGGCTGCTTATTACCTACATCCAAGTGCCGTGCTTTCTATTTGGATTCAAAAATTAATCTGCCCCGGAAAACCTGATATTCTGTCACTGTGTAAACTAGTAAGGGTACAACGTAATAAGACCTATACCAAAGGTATATCCACAGCTCTATGAAATCGTAGATAGAAGAATGATTGGTTTTAACAGATTCATTTTATTTTTAGAAATAAGAAGGGAAATAAGCTTTGCTAATCACAGGTATGTGCAATGACCTGATGGTCTGAGGCCATCTGTATGAGGCATTCTCTGAAACATTAACAGGTACTGGAGTTCTTTTCTTAGCTTCTGGTGTAATGCTATTTACGTGTGCCTGGCTTACCAAATATATTACCTATTTTTTTTTTTTTTTTAATTTACATCCAAATTAGTTAGCATAGAGTGCAACAATGATTTCAGGAGTAGATTCCTTAGTGCCCCTTACCCATTGAGCCCATCCCCCCTCCCACAACCCCTCAGTAACCCTCTGCTTGTTCTCCATATTTATGAGTCTCTTATGCTTCGCCCCCCTCCCTGTTTTTATTTTTGTTTCCCTTCCCTTATGTTCATCTGTTTTGTCTCTTAAAGTCCTCATATGAGTGAAGTCATAAGATTTTTGTCTTTCTCTGACTAATTTCACTTAGCATAATACCCTCCAGTTCCATCGGCAATCAAAAAGCATATTATCTATTTTTAATTAAGCTAAGTCTAATATAATCAGCAAAGGGCTTACAAACTATCCCGCAAAAAGACCATGGGTTATTAATTGCAAACACAGACAAACAACAACAAAATGACAGAGCTAATACTCTCTTTATCTTGAACTCTTCCCCAGACACATGAAAGGGTAAACGGCCATCAGCAGTAGGCTCCCTGGAAGATATTTAACCAACTAAATACACAGACTTCACTGCCACTTTCAAGAGAAGGACATTATTCTATCAATGAATAAGGAAGCAACTGCTTTTTGAAAGGAATCCATGCATGCCAGGAGAAGATGATTTGAAAAACAATGTTTAGAAATGTTTTTCTGGTACACTCTAAAGATTTTCTGTGAGTGCCACATATAAAAATTCCCCTTTCTTTTACACATAAGGAATGGAACCTTTGAACGGCTTCTAAATGAAAGATGTGGGGTTTTGTTACATATACATAATGCAAACCTCCTGATGTGTTTTTAAGGACATTTCATGCTATCAAGAAACTGATGATTTAGCAGCTAAATTTCCAGAAACCGCTTAGCAAGTCTGGTGGATGGTAAATAAATATCTTAATACCGTCAGCATAATCAATAATACATTTTCTTCAATTCAGATCAATGTGATGTTGAAAGGTTCTCTTTCGGTCAAAGAGCTATATAAAACATAATTAGAAATCACTTCAGCTTAGAAACAGACCTTGTGACTTATAAAACACGGTATTAAGTGAAGACTTTTTTTTTCAAAGAGGCCTCTATAATGGCATACATAATGACATTACTCTTGCTGATTTTTCAAATATTCTATGAGTTCAATAAATAAAAGTTTATATACATGCTGAGTGATGTGCATAATAATATAGTGGTGTGTGTACATATGAATAAGTTACAAATATTGGGAATTTTGTAACCGCTTTGTGGATAACATTTGACCTAACTTAAAAAAAAATGGAGAGAGGTTTTCCACACGTATAAAAGAAGTTATTCCATAGAGTGGGGGCGCAAGGTAATGCTTGATGTATTACAACAGTCACCAGGATCCTGGCATCTAAAACACAAAGTACATTAATGAGGGGAGAGCAATCAAGGGGAAGCCTGTATAGAAAGCCAGGACCATGTTTACAATACTCTGAATTGTATATTGTGAGTCGCCAAAAGAGGTGACATCATTGGGGCACCTAGGTGGCTCAGTGGGTTGAGAGACCGCCTCTTGATTTTGGCTCAGGGTCATATCTCACAGTTGGTGGGTTTGAGTCCTGCACCGGAATCTGCACTTAGTGTGGAGTCTGCTTGGGATTCTCTTTCTCTCCCCTCTCTGCCCCTCCCCAACTCACTCTCTCTTTCTCTCTTAAACTTAAAAAAAAAAAAAAAAAAATTTAATGATATCATCAGAACTATATTTTAGAAATGTATATCTGCCAGAAATGTAGAAGTTGGATTAAAGAAGAAAGTCTGTAAGCTAGAAGGACAGTTAATAGGATGTGTATGGAGAGATTTTTCTCTGAAGACTTGTGTTTTCATTTACTCTCAGAATTAGATAGGAAATTTTTATTTCCACCTATAAAATAAATTGGGGCATTCTTTTAATCTTTGAATAATTTGTGCCTCTACTATAAAGATCCAAACATGAGACAAAATTATATTTGGGTTCACGTTCTCAAGGTAATTCGCAACACTGCATTGTTCAGTTCATATAGTAGTAATTAAATCATTCGGGCCCAAACAATATTTCTATTAGAAAAGAAAGGTTTTCCTGGGCTGATCAATTATAAAAGTAGTAACCTGAGAACTCAAGTATATTTTGAAATGTTTGTAACAGTATTGAGCCTGTTTGACTTAAAATTTTAAGGCAGATAAAAAAGAAAAAGATTAGGGGAATATGACCTCAAAATCAGAAACCTTGCCAGGAATACAATTTTGTTCCCAAGGGGCTCTTACAAGGTATAGCCCCATCTTTTTTGTGTTTGTGAGTGTTCGTATGTGTGGGCGTGTCTGCACATGTGTGCTTCCTTGTAAATGTATAAAGTCTATCTAAATTTTTTGGAAGCCCCAAAGGGACTCAAAAATATATGCAAATAATCACAACTGCACAAATCGTGGAGCTCTGCCCATGTCCACGTAGAAGAGAGCCAAAACAGTGGGACATTTCTACATTGTGTCTATTACACATACAGACATTCATAAAGTGTATCAACAAATGTAAGTAAAACTTTTGGGGACAGCATGGGTCTGTCATAACGGGAGCCCAAGAACGGGATGGCTCTATGAGAGTCTCTGTTCCAGGGCACTGTGATGCGTTCACTCCTCATGTTGTGGGTTCAGTCACTGGATTTCCATCTCAGCAGTGCAGACATTTCACAATCCGCGGAAAAAAGAATTAAGAATGAGAATCCCTCCCCTCCAGTGGCTGGAGCACCAGCAGGACAGCCCCACAGGGTAGCACAACACGGAAAAGAGTCCATTCATGTGCTGATATGTGAACACAAATGTTGAGAAGCCTCCGTAAAGGAAGTCACAAACGTCAGAATGCCAAAGCTGTAGTAGTAATCGTGAACATTTAAGCCCACTCTGTGACGAGTTAATGATGTGGCTGAAAACGTTCCAAGTACTTCTAATCTGTTATCTCATTGAGTCCTCAAATAACCTTAAGAAGTTAAGTGCTCTTCTAGTGCCATTTTACTGCTGAGGAGAGGGAAAATCGAAGAGAGTAAGTAAGTTGGGCCAAGGTCATGTAGCTAATTTCCACCCTGCATCTGCGTGGAGCCAGTGCCTTTAAAAAATGATTCACTGCAATCCCCTGCGTCGTTAGAGTCAGTCGTTCAGCAGATCTGGTTTGCCTGCCTCCATGAGTGAAGGGAATCGAAACCCGTTCCTTCTTGCACTGACTTCCAGCCTATGTTTTAGAGCAGATGAGGCAACTGAGATCACATACGTAATCAGCAGCAGAGTTGATACCTGTATCTAGAACCCCTACCTCCTATTCCGATGCTTTTTCCACCAAGGACACGGATATGATAGACATATTGGGCGATTCAGTAACTCTGGTCTTTAGCGATGTAGAAAAGATTCAGCCACAGTGAACATCCTAGGTTTTTTCTACACCTGATGTTTAAAATTTACGTCTTCTAATAACCCTGTAAAATAATGGCGATTATCTCCATTTCCCAGGTACATCAACTGAGACTCAGGAAAAATGTTTGCGTTTATCAAAATAACAGAATGACACCAAGAGACAGAACATGATGACATTTAAGACCAGGTACAATTCACTGACTGCACAGAAGCCCAAAGAGAGTTATAAAAATAATTTTCACAGATTTGTTTTAATTTTATATTAATATATTCAGGACTATTGAGCCTAAGGGAAACATGTGTTTAATATGCATCTTTCCATCTCATTCCAAATTGTTTGCTGCATTAAAAATTAATTCAAACGTAGCATAAGATTCATAAAATGTTACCTTGATGTAAACCTCAAAGATTAAAAACAAATTTTATTTTTATTTCTTTACATAATAACTATTACACAAGGAATTTGGGTGCTGCTGCTGTCATTGTTATTGTTTGTCTCTGAACTTTCTTTCTGGCTAATGGGAAACTATGCAAAATTGAGGTGTTCAGTTTATTTTATACTCCTATTTGTCATCCATCTATCTATTTATCTACCTAACCACGTACACATCTACAATTCCCTTTACCATTTGGGGGCTGGAAGGAGAGCAAATTGACTGATTTTGTGTTTCCAAAAGCAGACAGCTATCACTGTGTTGTCCACGGCTTCTGAAATTTTATGAGTTTGGTTTGTGATGCCTGGGAATATGCTCAACTGATGATGCCATTCCCTCATAATCTCTTTTTAAAAAATTACAGATAGGGATATCTGTTTCAAAGATTCAGATTTAATCTGCTGTCCAGTCCCTTACCACTTTTCTGGGAAACAACAAACACCAAAAAGGTGATCATATTTCATGAGAGGTAGTATAGTGACGAGATTGCAGAGCAGCTGCCGAATAGGTGTGTGGAGAAGCAAAAACCGCTGTTGGTTAAAAGTCTGAATGAATTTTAATTAAATCTAGTCATGGCTGGGTGATTTCAATCTGGATTACTTTAAATTTTTTTTTCAACGTTTATTTATTTTTAAGACAGAGAGAGACAGAGCATGAACGGGGGAGGGGCAGAGAGAGAGGGAGAC